CCCCAGGAGCAGGTGGGGGGAAGCAGGGACCAGGCTTCCGCTCATGGCCTGGAGCTTCCTAATTCTTTATAATAACTTCTAAAACAAGATTTGGACAAGGACTGCGGATGTGTCTGTAAATATCCTATTCTATTGGGAGAATTTACCAAACACAGTGCACAAGAAAATCAAGTTTAAAATTTGACTTTCTAGGACTTCAGGATATCTTAATAGCAATAATATGAAGGACAGGATGGTTTTGCGAATCTGAAATTTTCAAAATCCAGAAACACACACTGATCCCAGAATTGAGACATTCAGACCAAAGCCCAGAACAGTCTAACGTAGTTGCCGTGACATTCAGTGGGGACTTCACAGTGAAGATCGCATCTTGGGGGGGCTTGTCATCCCCACATCAGCTCGACTGTCCTTTCTCCTACTGGATGCTGTGGCCCTGGGACCAGAGTTGCCACTGCAGGTGCCAGAACCAGTGTTCCCTAAACAAGAAAGGTTCAGTTAGCTATGTGTTCAAATCTTTCTCTCGGAAATCCTAACAGCCTGATGGAGGGAACTGAGCCTTCACCCATGTGGCAAAGTTGAAGGGTTTCAGACAAGTCCAGAGGGAGATTACTTCTTGTTGAATTAAATACGTCCTATTCAATCAAATCCCCCAGATGTTATGCAGATGTTACCACAGTGGTCATGAACTGTCCCCTCTCTGCTCACACAGATCAGGTTTCTAACTGCCCTCGGCTCCCTGCTTTTTCTGTCATCAGGACAGAGGTGGGGTCTCTCTCAGTGCTGTGGAGTTGACTCTGGGATCACCATGAACTGGGAACAGAGAACAAGCCCTGTTATGGGGTGGACTGTCCTGCCCTCCACTCCATTGTGCAAATTGCCAGTGGTCATTCCAACCCAACACTGGCTATCATTATGGACAAAGGAGATTGACCATGGCCATGAAACACACACCCGTGAGACACAAGCAGTCTCACTCCCAGATCCACATTCTCTGTCCCCAAAGTTCTGTGACCTGATTGATGTCTCCATCAGTGACAAAGGACAGAGAGGTTGAGATCTTTAGATCAGGGTACGTGCTGCCTGGGACTCACGGATGATACCGGATAACGAATGAGGCTCTGCCTGAAGCCCTATTCAAGAACGTCCAGAAATCCACCTTCACCAGCACATTTTATAAATTCCAAATATAACTGAACCCTTTGTACAAGTTGGAAGTGACTAACACCCACAATAACACAACAGAGTGGCACTGGTGGGAGATAGACACAGATCAATGGGACAGGACACATATGACCTTGAATAAACCTGTAGTTAATAACACATGACCCAGAAAGTACAGGTTGAAAGAAATCAATGCATATAGGTCCATCCAAATTTTTAATTCCTCTAAAATTTGAAAGCTTCATTTAGGAAAATTCACTTAAAACGAGAAAATATAAAAGTATAATTAAACCTTATGTATCTTATAAAGCTGTAGAAATACAGAATATATCAAGCATTTATTACACAATAATAAGACAATTCACTATTATAAAACTTTCAACATCAAGAATCAGGCATCTCTGAGCCTCTCTATACATTGGAGGTAGTTACTCAGATAAAAGTAATGTCATAATTAAAGTAAAAGAAATCAGAGCCTATGAAGGCAAGTCCTCCACATGGGATTATGTTTACAGCAAAGCTGACATACAAAGTTGTTTATAGTCATTCAACACTTAAGGATGGAATAATACATTTTTGCAGATTTATCACTGAGAATATCACAGGGTGGACTCACACAGCCCAGATGGTACAGCCTGCTACTGTGATCGCATGTGCTGTGAGTTTATGCAACTGGCAGTGCAGAGGTTTGTTGGCACCAGCATCACCACGTACCTGAGTAAGGTGTGGTGCTGACATTACAACAGCTATGACTTCACAAGGTGACCGGAAGTTTCATCTCCATTATAACCTTATGGGATGGCCATCGTATATGTGGAGTGTTATGTGGCGCCTGACTGCACATGAAATTATGATCATGAAGTTTGTCAATGGGGGAGATGTGTAATGTGATTTTTTAGATAATAAAATGTGTGTGGACAAAATGTTAATCCTGTTTAATAGTAACTAGAAAGCTCCATGAAATTGAAATTCTCGTGATGGACTCGCCTTGTCGAGCACTGATCCTGACCATCGGAGAGAAGGGCCAGGCTCTGTCTCACCTGGAAGCTCACCTGCCTGGTCTCTGAGCAGCACTTTTCAGGGAGCGAGCTGCCTCCCTGCAGAGACTGCTCATCGTTTATAACCCAG